CATTCATTTAAGAACGACGGCAATAATGCACGCTCGCGGGATCCACATTGAGCCGTCTCCCCCCAACGTAAAACGATTTGAATTGGAAAGAATCTTTGTTTTCGATGAAGAATATCTCCACATTTTCGTAATTTCGTTCGTACGTAATTTCGTTGGCGAGCGGAGCAGTCATCTTGTGTTCGGAAAGAAACTTCATCCCCTGGTCTACTCTACGTTTCCCCCGGAAGGCTTTCGGTGGAGGGAAGTAGTTAATCTTGTAGCAAGTTAAAGGTATTGCTGGATGTTACGAGATCCCAGGGATAACAAAGTTTATCACGCTTACCAAGTGATTTTATGTGTTGTGAGTTTTGTGCAATATACTTCCGTGTAATGTGAAGGTATTTGTTTGAAAAATTTTGTTTCTTAGCAAAAAAAAACGAGATAAAAGCACACCTGTTCGTACAACAGTTGTTTGATTGTGGGATAATGAGTGCACTCGTTACATTAAAACAAAGCTTTCTTATTTTCAGGAAAATAGCTTGGTGATTTGAAGAATGTAAATTTAGAAACCTTGCAATCATTAAATAGGTATTTGAAATAATAACAGGGCTGACTCAAAGATCGATCTTTATTACTACAATTACCAAGGCGGAGTCAACACATCGACCTTTTAGAATGGAAGATCAATCCGGAGTTTTCGATAAGAGCCATAACCTTATACGATCGATTTAGGGTCCGATTAGGCCCCTTTTAGGGGTTTACCCATAATCGTGATAATTAACACTGCAGGCAATGACTTATTGATTTATCAGATTATTGCTTAGCCGGGTAAGATAAATAAGGAAGGAGTTTCTATCTTCTTCATTGAGTTGGTGCGTTTACAGCCTAGGGATAGAACTTGAAACACTTAAGTGTTAGTAAAATTACATTTCCTGCAATAAATTAGACACTCTGATATTTTACTGGAAAATAATTATCAAACAGTATCAAATGCACGCGTATTACTCAATATTGCTGGATATCCTGGTGATTCAATCCACAGCACTTAGACCCCAACGAGCTCTTTGTACAATCTCACTAACCCAAGAATTCATTGAACGTTGCTATGTTCTCTATGTCCGATTACGGGTCATGGTTCACTGAAGACGAATTCCCTTAGATATGCAAGCCTCAAACAGTCGCAAGCAATGCGCCAAAGCTTTCATCTTCCAATTCATAACCTTTACACAGTTTGTTGTGTTATTCAACGTTAGATACGTTCCCAAGTTATTAATATAATATATTAATGTCATGATTAGTAACGAGTCTGAATTCACGCTTTTATTTAAACCTTAATTTATTGAAATATAAGCTGAAAATGTATAGACTTATTAATTTTTAATTTTTTGACACGCTTTCATTCTTGATAGACCTCAATATTACTTTAATTGTTAGACATATTTTCTATTCCATTAGCATGCTTAAATGGTGTTGCTGTTTTGGTGGCCACAAATTAAAATTCTATTATGAATTGTTGTGTTCCGGGTTTGATAACGATGTATATAACTCACGAAATTATCCATTAATAAATTAAGGTCACGCTGAAATTTCCTGGCTCCTTTCTCGTTAACGAAAATGATCACATAATTTAGCAGCCACTATAATTGTCACATTCTCTGCCTAGTGTATGGACTGAGATTTGACATGAAAATATTGAACAGTATTAGAAGGATTATTTTTTTTCCATATTCTGACTTAAGGAAACTTCAACTTGTGTTTGATGACTTCAAGTTGGTGCTAATACAGCATGTTTGATGCGATATTTAACGGAAAACTTCTTTTACGCGTCAGTGCCGTGTAAAATTCTATCACTTATTGATTTATCTAAAAAGTGCCGAAGCGGTTCCCAAAGTTTTCTTATTACTGCCCTATATTATTTTTACTTGATATTATTTCATCGATGTTTTTGATTCGTTTTTGAGATACATCAAATATCAATTTCAATTGATTTGTTTAGAAACAAAAAGCTAAAAAGGATCTCCTTTTTTTGGAAGAAATTGTAATGCTGTGATTATTCTTTTGGCCACCCACAAACAAAAACGCAGAATGGGGATCAGATGTTATAACTACAAAACGAAAAGAATTATTAAAAGCCATTCAAGAGATAGAAGCCAATTATCACTCCTCGGGCAGCCCAACGTACTCGTCCACTGATGCTCATAATGATTTAGTAGAGTTATTTTTATCTAAAACATTTTCACACAATTTTCTGGAAATGAAAGATAACTAAGATATCTCGGATCACACAGCAGTGGTGCCAACTCTAAGTGAACAGATCATTAAAAAGGAAAAAAAGCCAAACCTAACAAGTGATGCTGAGAATTAAAGAACAACTTGAAGAAGGAGTAGATAACCGGAGTGTCTCATCTTCTTGAATATGGAAATTATTGAAATTAAAAACGTACAAAGCCATTTGATCTTATCTAGTGAGTGACAGGGGTGAATAGTGAGGAAGCAGAGTAAAGTGCGGTAGTACAATCTATATTATGACTTCTGAAAGAAAGCTTATGGGATTGGACATTCTACTTTTAACATGTTAAAATAGATAAACTTTGTGAATTTTGACCAGTTTTAGTGCTATAAAAAACACAAATTTCAAAAACCAAACCAAAGCCCCAATACGATGCAAATTGGAAGTCGATGAAAAATCGATCCAACAGGTTTAAATATCTTGGAGTCGGTATATCAAGCAATAACAATACCAGACATGTGAAATCACAGCCAACCTAAGCCGCAGTAATATCTGGTTGCCTACGGGACATCATATGGCGGAACAAACACATGACGGTAAAAAGCAAAGTAAGGATCTATAAAACCTGTGTAAAACCATAGCTAACATACGCAGTCGAGACAAAAGCCGAAACATCCAAACAAGTCATGAGAGTCATAGGGATGAATAATAATAATAATAATTGACCTGATAACAAAAACCTGATACAAAAATACCATATAATAGGTGTATCATAGAAAACAAATTATTAATTTTATAACAAATTATTTTAGGCCAACTATCCATTTAAAAAAATAAAGTTACGTCTAAAATCTCGAAAATAAAAGATGGGAACAAAATTCTACCTACGCCACTGAATTCTTTGTAAAAACTTGCCCATATAATGTTTTATTTATAATACTCCATCTTTGATAATAAATGAGATATTCGCGATTGTCGTTTTCGCAAAATTTTCAATTTTTGCCGATAGGGCGAAAACAAAAGACGATAGCTGTTCTCAGTTTTCGGCATTAGCATTTTCTCGAAAAACGAGATCATGACATGTACGCTACTTTTTTTTCTATCTCTTTTAGTTTCGGAGATAGCCTATGCGGACATCGAAATTGGGACACCCTGTACAGGTATGCCGGAGTTTTGAAAATAATAATTTTGAAAAATAATACTCCCTCATGAAAAATTCTCGTTGCTTTCAATGAATAACCTAAGAACTATTACAAGCTTAAGCCTACGTGACAGCTGAATTGAAAGAAGATACTGAAGGAATCATGTTGAAAGGATGAGTGTGCAAAATTGGCAAAGAAAATCGAAACGCAAAAATCAGACATCAAGTTACTCCCAGGAAGACCACATAAACGTTGGTATGAGAGCTGGAGGTCGACATCACAAGATAACAAACATAGGAACGGAAGTAAGAAGAGAAGGAATGAAAAAAACAGGGGCTAGTCCCTAAAGTAATAAGAAGATGAAGTTTCAAAAACTTGTTTAACTCTCTCTTTTTCTCCAGAACCCTGATTCTGCTGAATATTGTACGTCAGATGGGGGATTTTACTAGTTTTGTAATGAGTAATTACTAATTACTTTGTTTGTTATGTTTTTGAGCTTTTTACAGTTTGTTACTTAAGGGATCGAAGAAGAGTGCGGGTTATAACCTCGTATTGTATCCAAATTGCAAGTTTCTGGTTGGGTTGGGTTGGGTTTCACTTAAGTAAATAGCAAATGTATGCTTTTATGTGCTTAACAAGTATGCAGATTCCAAATTAAACTTGAAAGTTTTTTCTTAGATAGAACAAGAGTATAAAATTGAATATGTTAACTGAACAATAAATACAATATGCATTTTCGTACCGGACAATAATATATCGATAACAATGATTATAAGATCTAAAAAATAGGCACTGAAATGGCACCTTTGCAAATAATACTCGACAGAAAAGTATAAAAGTAATATTATGATTGATGATGAAAAATTTCAGCGATTGTAGAACACAAGATACTACATTTCTTGTACTGTCAACTTAGAATTATTTATGAAACTCCTTATCGGACATTATAAGATCAGGTAAACAAAAACATAAATAATATGCGAGTTACACAAAACTCCCGATATCATGCAAGTAAATACAAGAGTAAGGCGTCAAATATTACTGTTTGATTATTCTGAAGGATTTAACATTCAGGGATACATGCTAAACAAAGTATATGTAATAAGAAGAAGTACAACTTGCTCGAATCGGCGTTTTAATGAGATTGTCTAAAAGATAACAATCACCAACAGTTAGGCAGAATTAATACCGCTTGGATAATTGAATTCATTCTGAAAATCCCTAGATCTCATTAATCCTGATGTTATTTTTGAAGAAAAAGACCTAGATCATGAAGATTAAATTCCAAATTCCGTTTCGTATAAATCACACTGTATTTCTAAAATGTTCCGCACGTAAAAATAATCATAACTACTACCATTTATAATCCATACTATCCAAGGATATAACTCACCTCATACATTTTTCGCTTTTTATCATAATCATTTATATTGCGTGCGGTTGCTCTTTGCTTTACTGTTGTGGGGCTACCGTATCGAGGCGATCCGGTCGTTTGCGAAGCGAGAGAACACACAGAAAACGGGCTTGCGCCCTACCACTACTGTTCACTTGCAGCCGCCTGTACCACCGTGCCGGTGCCATTAGCGCTCTCATAACTACGGAATGAGTCACTCCCCCCGTGCCACCGACCGAGCGTGGACGCACAACAACGACGACCATATCGATGCGATTCTTCCGTTTCGCTCCTCCATAAAAGAGAAGAGAGAAAACGAACCGTCGCGAGCACGTCGCTTCTAACCTCCCAGTAAACACTTTTTAATCACCATTAAAGAAACAGTGCTTCGAGCCCCACATATACACCGTGTCGTTGGTTAGTTCGCCGAGCTCCTCGCAACGTTGCGTTTGAAACTAATTAGTGATAATGGAATTTTTAATTGGATGAATAAGCGAGCTAGACATCGGACTGTGGTCGGTCACCACCAGTTGAGGTTTAGTTCATTAACTATATACATCACTTACTTATATCGTTGAATGAATTCGTGAGTTATTTTTCATAGTTAATCACTGGTAAGCAAGATATATTGATACTTTTTTGTTATAAATTACATCTATTATTACTGATTCAGTGAGAACAAGTCTTTTCACTTTCACCATTTCCAAGAAGTGAAGTGGTTATCGATCACCCGTGGTGTGTGAAAATTGATGATGTGTGAGTGGTTGATGAAAATAGATATTATTCCGTTATCCTTTCTTAGTGTCGATAGAAATTGCGGGGGACTCTTCAAGGTAATAACTATTTTAATATTACGAAAACGTTTTAAGAAGGAATTCCAATGTTTCATATACGATGACGTTATTTCTCAGCACGTGTAGGTGTATTTTGTTGTATTTTATGACTGTGGCTAACGCACAAATGTCCCCACCTACTATGTGTTGTTTTAAAATAGTTTATTATTAAGACATAAATATGACTTATTTCAAACTCTCTTTAATATTTGAACTGGTTTTAAAAGTGAAATTTTTAAGAAATTTCTCTTTCAAGCTACTCATAGATAATTAGAAACTTAATTGGTACATTTAAATCAACACTTTTTTAATCAAGTTTTCACTTGATTTTAACTCTAAACTTCGTTAAATATACAGGATATTTTTCATTGAAATAAAACTAGAACTAACACTAGACCTAGAACTAGAAACATACGACGATACTTTCTAGTTCTAGGTCTAGTGTTAGTTCTAGTTTTACATTATCACTAGAACTAACACAAGACCTAGAACTAGAATCATTCGGGTTTAGCCGTCTTGAGAGACGTGTGGCTAAATCCGAATGTTTCTAGTTCTACGTTTAATGTTAGTTCTAGTGAAAGTGGTAGGTAGCGCTAGTTAGTATAAGATATCACTATGCACTGAGAGAAATGGATTGTACTATGCACTAAAAATATACTATAAGGTCTATAAGGTATAATACGTTTACTACGAATAGTGACAGCGAGACGAGATTGTATTCACTACAATAAATATAATGAATATAATACATTGAATTGCTGCATGTATAATATTTTTTCTATAATACGATTCGTACAATCTATTTCTCTCAGTGTGTTGCATATTTTTATTGCACTAAAACTAGAACTAACACTAGACATAGAACTAGTTTTTAGTTCTAGGTCTAGTGTTAGTTCTAGTTTTAATTGTTATTCAGCGTTAGATTGTTGTATACTTTTATTGAACTAAAACTAGAACTACCACTAAACCTAGAACTAGGAACGCACGGCTAACACTAGACCTAGAACTAGAAACATTCGTATTTAGCCGTCTTGAGAGACGTACGGCTAAACCCGAATAATTCTAGTTTTAGATCTAGTGTTAGTTCTAATGCTAGAATTAGTTCTAGTTTTAGTTGTTATTCGGCGCTAGATTGTTGTATATTCTCATTAAATTAAAACTAGACTTACAACTAGAAACATTCGAGTTTAGCCGTCTTAACAGACGCTTGGATAAACCCGAATGTTTCTAGTTCTAGATCTTGTGTTAGTTCTAGTGACAGTGTTAGTTCCAGTCTTAGTTATTATTCAGCGTAGTATTTTTATCATTGCCAAAATTGAAATGTGTGTATTAGAGTGTTACAAACAATCTTTTACATATTCTAGAAGCAAAAAAGTTTCAAAAATAAAAATTGCAAATTTATAACTAAGAAAATGACTTTTTGCAATCGTGTAATTTTTTTTGCTACTGCCAAATTTGAATTGCATGTACTCATCGTGTTTCTTAGGTCATTTTGAACATCTTAGAAACAAACAAAAAACTTAAAAAGTGTAGTTTTAGTTCTAATGCTACTGTTTATTCTAATTTTGATTGTTATTCAGCGTTAGATTATTCTATATTTTTCATCGAACTAACACTAGACCTAGAAAGATTTCGGTTTAACCGAAGTTTTAGGTCTAGTGTTAGTTCTAGTTTTACACTAGCACTATCACTAGAACTAACACAAGACCTAGAACTAGAATCATTCGGGTTTAGCCGTCTTGAGAGACGTACTGCTAAATCCGAATGTTTCTAGTTCTCGGTCTATTGTTAGATCTAGTTTTGCACTATCACTAGGACTAGAATCGTTCGGGTTTAGCAGTCTTGTTATTCAGTGCCAGGTTGTTGTATATTTTTCATTGAACTAAAACTAGAACTAGAATCATTCGGGTTTAGCCATCTTAAGCGACGTACGACTAAACCGGAATGTTTCTAGTTCTAGGTTTAGTGCTAGCCGAATTTGTATACATTAAAATTATTCAAATAACGGACTTTTGGCTATAAACGTACATTCCCTTCCCCATATTAATCCATTATATCGAGGTTTTACTGTACTTGTATATAAAATTGCTTCACGACGGAGACTATTAACTAAACAAATAAATTTTTTCAACACTATTTGCGAAGCATATTTACAAAAAACGTACTCGTGCATTATCAACAACGTTTGCATAGCTTATCGCAATTTGCATAATTAAAAAAATGTTTAACGCGTGCTCTAAGTTTTCGGATAAAATTTAAAATGAATCGGATTCCTTAAAAGGATTCTCGCACATATTTCGGTCGTATTTTACTGTCGAAAGAGATGCTGTGGTTCGAGGCGAAATCAATTTCTTCCCAAAGTCAGTTCGCAAGGGGCGCTTAATCGAAAGCGGTCGCGCGTCGGGTTATTTTCAATTTGCCAGTTTCAATTTGGAACGACGAAGTTAACAACGATATCAACCCCTGTCTTACTCAATTTAATCCTAATCAAAGCTAAACGGTGAATTTTAAGTTGTATTTTAAGCTCTAGTAAATTTACTGCGGTAAGAAATATCAAATAACTGTAAATAACGTGAACGTTAGGTATTAAAATTAAATTTAACCGTGAAAGAATTTTTTTTTGTATGAATAATAAATGGAGTGTCTCTTTGTTCCGGTTGAGATGGGTTTCGAAAATTTGAACGGATCAAGATGAATTTGTTCCGTATTTTTGTCCAAAACTTGGAAACATACTTTGAATAAATAAACAACTCATCCATTAGAGACCTGGATAAACTTTCTTTGCAAGTTAGTAAACCCCCCGTGAGACTTAATAATTCAGGTTATAAGCGGCATACAATTCAGACCTCGTTTTCCATGGTTTTAGAGATCGTTTCCGGTTTTATTTTTAAAACGCATTTTAACGTCTACGTGAGTCGAATTAAATTGTTTTAATGTTACGTAACATTAATTATTATTTAAATTCTATATGACGCGTATTCAAATAAAAATTTTATAACATATTTTTATCGTTTTTTAATAGCCAACACGAATTAATATCGATTAATAATATCGTGATAGAAATAACGCAAAATTTAATGCTTATAAATCCTATGAATGTCTGACGTTTTTAAGTTTTAGACATAAATAAGATCTATTATATTAATTATTCTCACTACACATCATGAATGGGGGAAATTGAGGAAGAGGTGCTTTGCTTGCGTATAAAGGACACAGACTTGATTGCATTTAAGTGTAATGCATTTTCCTCGCACTAATTATTAAGTAAATTAAGGTCATTAGAAGGTAATGATATCACACAGTACAAGCTTTAGATAACTTTATAAAACACTCGCAACTTGATTCTAGAAAAGGTGAAGAAGCTAAGTAACAAAAATAATGCAGAAAAATTTATTCAAACCAAAAATATCTTCTTTTCACGCATTTCGAATTCTGAAATGTAATAAGAGAAGATGAATCATTTGATAGATATCCCAGCAGTATTGAACAATAGATATGATTAGAATATTCAATTATGTTTTCTCAGTGGAGGAAGCTATTTATGCCATGATATATCTATGTATTTATGTCAATTATGTAATAAAAAAGAACATAGTGTGAATATTTGTAAAATTTGAATTTGGTGAAGATACTACTACATAAAGTTTATTAAAGATAACTATCATTTCAACATATATCAAGGAGTTAAGAGTAGCTGAAATATTTCCCAAACTAGGTAAACTCAAAAATTCTTATAGCACCCTCATCTCCAATTATAAGACTTTCTGTTAATATATGCCAGATTGCAAGCTGATAACTGTCAAAACTCGTCGTGATGGTAAAAAAGATAAAATGTTAATTGAAGAAGTGTTAATTTGTTAATTTTTATATCAATGTATAAAATGTAAACTATAAGATACTATAAGATACATTACTAGACGCTTCCAAAAATCAAAACCTGGGTAATACATAAGTTCCGGTGTGCTATGATTCCTTGCCAAAGTATGCAAGGTTTTGCGTGATGTATGTGTCACTAAAATGACACCTGAATTACGTCAACAAACCACATACACTAGATTCGCAGTGTTGGTCACTATGTCACTCGAAGTATGCGTCATAAAGTACTGTTCAGAGAAGATACTCAAAATGCTAGAGGGTTAGTGTATTGGTATAAAAAGTTTCGATAATGTGCAGAAAAATGAGAAAAGGACAACACGGGGAGAGGAGGAAAAGAAGGAAAGACGTAACCCTTAATCTATGGGGACTAGGATATAAAAGCGTAATGAATTAACTTGATCAGACAAACTTGGAGCTTGGCTTCGACACAGGTTTTTCTTTTTTGATATCTTTATTTTATAAGAATCATTAATCTTCTTTGATGTATACAAAAAAAATGAACTGGTTGATAAGTTTTCTGCCATTCCTCGATTTTTATAAGTTTTGCTCATATTCTGCTACTTTAACGACATATTTTTGATTCACTCTTACTACGAAATATGATGCGCTTCGCCTCACTCTTCAACATCATAATCCTCTGAGTGATGTCGTGACTGATGAATAGAAGTGCAAAAATCCTTACAGATTGGAAACCAACAGAAAAGACCTAGAGGAAAATCTGGTAAGAGATGGTTAGACGACGTGAAGGATGATTTGAGGGCGATGGGAATGAGAGACTGGTGGAGATCATCAACTTAGCCAAATCATTGTAGCACTGATTTTGATAAAAAAAGCTTTTTTCTAATTTTTTACTACATCAGTCGTCATCCATCACCAACCTATTATTATCGGTGTAGATAAAAGACAGACAATTTAAGGATGACTTGACTTGACTTAGGAAAGCATAGAAAACTCTGATGTATTTGGTGATTAAAAGTACGTTTTTGCAATGATCGTTGCCATCAGCGATATTTTGGATAAATTCTAGACGGTGTGAAAACTTTGGTTGCTCTTTTGAAACTTAATATCGAATAATTTTAGCAAGGCACGATAAGTTGAAATATCTACTTAGACTCCAGAGGTATATTTCAAGAATAGGGTCATTAATTTCGTTGCCAACGAAGAACGAAGTAGGAAATTGGAGTGTGACGTGGCGCATTTCTGGTGCCTTTTACGGTAATCTTACAAATAGAAATGCGAGAGAAATATCAACTGAGTATACAGTATATATTAGTAATTTTATGAACGCTTTGGAAAACGAATCAACAATTTTAGATACAATGTAGTAGTGAACTATAAGCGAAGAGATTCAATACACAACTAAGGATAAGAGGGATACAGTAGCTATAAATTTATATGTGTTTACTATTCAAAGCAATTTGTTGGACCTATACAGAATGAACTGAATTATTCGGCCAAGCTCTTCTTGATTAGTTGTGTTTACGATCAAATTTGGACAGAAAAGATCTCCAAAAGTTTCATATAAATTATCAAAAAGTCGCAAAACTTTTCAAAAATTATATGAAAGTTATCAAAAAAATCTGGTTGTCAGAAAATGTCTAAAAGTGCCAGAAACTGTCAATATGAGTGAAAAGAAGCAGAGTGTCAAATAATATCAGAAACTATTGTATTAAACATTGTTAAAAAGATTCATTAAGAGTCAAAAAGTTCCAGATAAAATAAAAACCTGTTGAAATGTGTCAAAATACAGGGTTAGTACAAAAGAATCATTGAGTTTGACAAGGCCATAATTCGGAAAGTATTACGTATAGAATAATAAATGACATCTCTATAAACAGCGACGATCTCTCTAAGTTTGTCATGCGCACGCCCAAATCACCTTTCCAGTGTTGAAAATTTTGTGGAAGCAATTGGAATTCAAACCGTATCGTAAACAGTTTTGCATTAACATGCAGGAAGCAATGGAGGATGACGTATTTGCCAACTGTCTGGTCAACATTTCATTTAAGTGGCGAGGTGAACCGTCACAACATTCGGATATGGGGAACGAAAAATCCTCATGACATTATCCAACATGAAAGGGATTTTCAAAAATTGAATGTTTTCTGTGCCATATCCAGCACAAAAGTGTATGGACCGTTTTTCTTTTATGAAAAAGCTGTGACCGGTATATCGTACGGTATGATGGATGATTCCAACAACTTTATATACTATCGAGATGAAGCTCCTACTCACTGGCTCACTCCCTCACCGTTGGATAGACCGTCGTGCTGAAGGAGATTTGGAATTGCTTGGGTAGTCTCCCAATTCTCCTGATCTTACACCATGCGATTTTTATTTATGGGGGTACATTAAAAACAATGTTTTCGTACCACCACTACCCACAACACTGCGTGAACACAGAAGACGCATTACTGATGCTGTTAACAGTATCGACCGAGACTCATTGCAGTGTATATGGGCTGAACTTGACTATCGTTGCGACATATGTTATAGGAAATCTACTAGAATCAGGTGGTTAACGAATATCTACAAATATAAGCTACCAAGTTTGTGATTTTTTCCGCGACATTTGAATTTTTAGTAAAACTGTAGAAATGGAACTGTTCGCACAACATACGATATGAAGCTAATGAATCAGGTTTGATCCAATGTTAGAATTCTGAAAACACGCAGAATGGCCTACAAAACAACTTTAACAATGGAGTAAAAAAGTTAGGCGCTTTTAAAACTGAATTTATGCTACCATTGTCAGGCTTTATGGCATTATTAATGGCATTTATGCCATTGCCACCTATTATGCAGAATTAAGTTAGTTTTTAATCAATTTCTATCTGAATGAAAGTATTGAAATGTTTCAATATCACATTAGAACTTGAAGTATTGTTATTAATGAACAAAATTGGACGCGAAAATTAAATAAAAAAGAAAAAAATTTTAATCAGCGACGAATTGAATATCCATGAAAAATCAATACTTATTTTTTAATGTTTGAATTGAAGCTTGGAAAGCTACGGTTATATTGAAAGAATAAAAAAAAACAGCATTAAGCCTCATAACAACAGAATAAAAGATAAAGGAAGTGTACCAAGCATATAGTAATCAATTAATAAAATGAGATGGCTGCATTCTACAATTAATTTTTTATACGTCTAAAACATTTCCACTTGTAAATGTTAATATTGCTGCCTAACAAGATATATAACTAATATTGTATGTAATAACTATTTAAAGATAGGGAAATTGCTTAAATGTTAAAATCAACAATAATATTAAATAAAATCAATATTGACGAATCACTCGATGCTACTCCTGCAACTACGCAGTTACAGTAATTTAACATAGAATTTAATGTAAATAGCCTTAATAAATTTTAATCTTAAGTCAATACATAATTTAAAAATCTCCGGTTGAAATCTCATTTATAAGTTAACATACACATCCGGAATGTTTACCTTAATTGCTTATTTACGTTTTAATAATGATGTTACATCAATTTAAAATCCTCACATATAAAAGATAAACGTCGGTTTTTAATTGGAAGGTTTAAAATTGTTGTTGTTATATTCCGAGAATGTTAATTTTGTTTCTTAAATACAAAAGTAAAAACCAGGTTATGTATACAGCTGTTATTATTGTGTACGTGACTTGGTATACAGTTTATAAAACAATAAATTCCTTGATTTATCGTAATAAAAAATCGCATTTCATCGATATATCCCAATTTAATAATATCACTTTATTAAGTTTTATTATCACCAGTATCGTATATTCAGCTTTTTTTTTGGTATCTCTTTATCAAAATTCATGGCATTGTATCTTATCTTGCGAGAAATACATTCCTAAACCCGGTAGTCTAAAAACAGCACTGCTAAAACCCTGTACTTATTCTATTTACTGTGAAATAAATTTAAATATATTGTTCCATCAGTTTTAAAGTAAACCAAAAAAGTGTAATATTAAAATTGTTTGCTAATTAATTATTTTGGTATTGTTTCAGCAGTGGGTTTACCAACTGGAGTAACGATGAGGGAAAAGAAGAGTGGGGCACTATCTCGAATGCAAAAATTGAGAAAAAGACTGTCACATTCATTTGGACGTTTGTGTAAGTTATTTTTTAATTTTTTTCTTATTATTATTAATGAAATGAATCATAAATTAGTGCAACCTTCGGGAATTGGTAATCTGACTCAGAATGTTTATATATTTACTAACATTGGGGTCATCTACATAGATTTCCTTTTCAAACACATGACTCATTAAAAATATTTTTCCTTCTCGATTGTAATTTCAAATGACGTCATTGTTTTTTTCTTATCTCGTATTGATTTATTTTTAAATCGATTTAAATTTAATTTACGAAACCCCCCGGAACTGCGACCGAAATTGATTTTGAAATAATTAAATTTCTTTATATGCAATGAAACTTATGAATTCATTCGTTCATTCACGAACAAAACCGGAGCAAGTGTTTGAAAATAAATGAATGTGTGTCATAAAAGTCGACTTTATTAAAATCGGCTTCCACCACTTTTAATCCGTGAATGCAAAACAAAATGAATGATTGTGTTTACGCAAAACCGACGCTTTTGGTATAATTTCCCGAGACACAAACGTATTTGCATTTAATTAACACACAGAACAATTTGATGTATAAAATAGGGCTAACCTATTATTAACATGGGGTGGGCGAATGTATTTGAACATTAAAATAATTATTTTTATATAAAAACGGAGTAATTTTTTTTTTATTTTGTAAGGAATTTCTTTTTTTAATAATTTTAAAAATGTGTTATAAGATATACAGGGTGTGTCAAATGTCTGGAATATAGCCAATAACTTCGCCATTTGTGATTTTAAAGAAAAATGTTTCAAATACAAGTTTCTTTATTAATCATGGCGCATTTTTTGGCGATATTTGCTTGTTTGCATTGTTTTTGTTTCGTTACTATGGCAACCAACATTGTTATTTTAAATGGGATGCATACATTGTTTTTGCATACTTTGATAGAGGATAAGTCCCTCTATGCGATGAACATATCAAATCATGTGGTTGTATAAAAAAAAATTGAGAAAAAATGCGTTTTTTTAAAGTATTAAATCAGCTAATTACAGCAAAGTAGGCGCCAAAATAACGCAGTTGACAGCTTTAAATGTCAAAAAAATTACAGTTCATCAACAATTATGAATAATTAATAATGTATGATCATTGGTAGCTGTCTTTGGCCATCAACTTTTTGGAAGGTTTTTAACACTTCCGGTGTTAAAGAATTTTTTTAATATTTTGGATACTGTGGATTGTGTAATTTGTGTATGCGGGTAAATATTATTAAACTTTGTTGTTCGCTTAATTGCGCCATATTTGTTTAAACTATCAATTTTTTGACATTTACAGCTGTCAACGGCTTTATTTCGACGCCTACTTTGATTGTAATTTGCTGATTTAATATTTTCAGAGAACAAATTTTTCCTCGATTTTTTTTTATACAACCATATCATTTGATATGTTCATCGCGTAGAGGGATTCATCCTCTATTAAAATATGCAAAAAAAAAAACATATGCATCCCATTTAAAATAACAATGTTGGTTACCATAGCAACGAAACAAAGAACAATGTAAACAAGAATTTTTTAATTGAAACATTTTTCTTTAAAACCACACATGGCAAAGTTATTGGCTACCTATATTCCAGACATTTGGCACACCCTGTATATAAGACAATTTTTTTTAAATTGATGATTATATTAAATTCGGAATATTTATTAAAAACCTTTTTATTTGATACCAAACTCGCTATATTTACGGTAAAAATTAAAAAAGTTAGGTTATAATCAACAAAATACCCGTCATTTTGTTTTTCTATTGTTTTTCAGCTAAAATTTTTTTGTATATTAATTTTAATATACAAAAAATAATCTTAATTTTAAAGATAATCCTACCAAGTTTGGGTTCATTTAAAAAAAAACATTCTTATAACGATTAGAAAATTTTTTTTTATATAATAATAATATTAAATTCGTAATCTTAATCAAAAACCTTTTAATTTGATACTAAACACGCCATATTTACAGTAAAAATTAAAAAAAAGTGAGGTTAAAATCAACGAAATAACCGCCATGTTGTTTTTTTGTTGTTTTTAGTTAACATTCTTTGTATCTCCCTTAATGTTAAAGATAATCCTACCGAGTTTGGGTTCATTTTAAAGCATTTTTAATTTTCATTATAATTAGAAATGATTCAAGATACTTTTGCATAAAAATTAAAACAAAAACTTTCGTTTTACTTGATGATAATATCAAATTCGTAATATTTATTAAAATCTCGTTAATTTGATACCAAACACGCCATATTTATGGTAAAAATTAAAAAAAGTGAGGTTAAAATCAACGAAATAACCGCCATCTTTTTTTTGTTGTTTTTAGTTAACACTCTTTGTATCTCCCTTAATGTTAAAGATAATCCTACCGAGTTTGGGTTCATTTTAAAGCATTTTTAATTCTCTTTATGATTAGAAATGATTCATTACTTCCGAAAAAAAATATTTAATAATTTTATTTTTAATTTAAATACGAAATTCACAGGTTACTTTAATTAATTAAAACGTGAATTCGTTATCTAGATTGATGTCCATTAAGTTAATACCTCATCCACCCCCGACGATAAAAATCGTCTAATTTAAAATCGATTTGTCTTATTTAGATAACAAATTTAGTTTGAGTTCGGCTAAAACAAATTAAATTATCATAACTTAATATGCGACCCGTTTTACATCACAATTTCTACCCTCTCGCAACAGGAGCAATTTAGATTAAGATTTCAACCTCCGGTTATTGCTTACAATTATACGCACACACTCTACTTAATGGCTACCGAGGCCATCGTAACTAACTCCCGGAGCAACAGATTCGCTCCGAGCGATCCAATTCTGTTGTAATTTAGCTTTCTGAACCCTATAACCGGTTACGTTTTGCATTTGGGGGGATAAATCCCTTTACTCCGGGACACTTAAAATTAATAGCGTATGCATTTCGAAGCTCTCAAGTGCAATCTACTTTTGCACAGCCTTTGCCACTTTGATTCTCCTCTCGAGTAGTACTCTAAGAGTATGAAATTGCCCCCTTCCAGTCTCTTTACTCTGGTTTGGATATGTTCCAGTTGATAAGGATTTAATTTGAATATCTTAACAGTGAGTCATTGTTATCTCTTATATTAAACTATAAATCGCATCGTAACCAAGCAAGATACAGTTAATCCCATCAGATTGTTTCAAATTGTTCCTTGGAATTTTTGCAGGTCAAAAAATCCTCTTCAGGTAGAGATAAACTGGATTGACAATAGAAAAGTTGGTCGTGAAAGAGGCGGTATATAATAAGAAACGGACAAAAGATGTTGTTAAAGAAAGCGAGTTCTGGGAAACAATTGTCATGATTTTAAACGAACTATAAACCATTAAAAAGTATTTGTAATTAAAAAAAAAGCTTTTTCTCTTTGTAATATTCGCTTTCATCTCCAGTATCTTTGATTAATTATACCCTTTTCATAACCAGGGAGAACTAATTTTAAGGGATCCATTACAGCTACATGGAGTCGGTTGTTTGCAGAGATCGTAAAGCTCGTCTTCCGGTGTTAGGGCAACTAACACTTTGACGAAACGAGCACCACTACCGAACCTAGTCGTTATGCAGTTTCTCAAATTACTCGCGAACGGTAATCCCACCCAGAAACCATTTAAAGAAACTTGGAAACGACGATGTTCATAGTGTGTGTAAAATCTCGGTGAGAGGAATATTTATGGGCTATATAAAATTAATGAATTGTAAAGTCCACACAAAACGGTCGTAAACCCAATACCGAATACCGGGGGGAAGATTGTGAATTATTACACGGGCAAATGGGTTTTTGGAAGTTGGCCCATAGCTTATCCGCAGATTAACCCAAGTTATTACAATATTACAAGAGAAAAGGTGTACAAAAGAGAGAAGGGATGCGGGCGTAGGCGTATCGGGTTCTGACCGTTATTGCAGCTGAAGATTACCGTGGGGAAGGATCGATAACGGGGTCGCAGTCCTCCCCCCGAAACTACATAGAGTAAAACCGAAGCCGCTGGTATGTGGGTCAAACGAAGACGTTAGGTGCTAAACATATGTACCGCAGCTGAACAAACTATTCGCTCGGTTCCTAAAATTACACTTGTATTAAATTAGAAAGAACGTTCTTCTCGATGGAAAACGAAGCAACGCTCGGACACCGAGCTTGCTTCAAGTTAATCAATGGTGCGTGACAAATCGAATGAGTCACCGCACTATTTTTGGATTCGGGGTGTTGATATTTTCCAAATAGGAGCGCCATCAATGTAATTAAATTTTTTTTGGGCGTTCAGGCGGAAATTTACCACTTACAATAAATATATATAGTTTTTGAAAACGAAAACAAAATTTCACCTAAATTCTTATTTATTAGCATTGTGTACATTAAGATAACGTTTGAAGAGCAATCAATTTACACCCACATGACAAAACATAATTGATTTGGTATCATCAGATAACTAACCCACACGTTACACTTTTTTTACTCACATATTTTTTTTTTGAATGAATGATTAACGATAAAAAAATTTACGCAAAAACGTTTTTTTTTAGCTGTGTCCAAAGAAGAACAAGAGGACCAACAACACGGGAAACTTCCTTACAATGGATACAGTGATGAGTTCCTGGACAGATTGGAGCCGAATGGTAATATTCCAGCTGGTAAAGGTGATATTAGATATGGTAAGAATTAATTTTATTATTAAAATAAGTAATAAATTGAAAATTAAATAAAATTATTTTTAGAATGGAATAACATGGGAGGACACGATAGGGTAAAACGTCAACTTTCCGTATCATCCGATAGTAAATTACTTGATGATGATATAAGGGAAGAAACGAGGGTGATTATGAGACCGAAGAAACCTCCCAGACCGAAATCGGAGGTTTTGCTTAATCAGGGAGGCGATCACCGTCGAATGAAAAGGTTTTCCGCTTTCGGGGGTGATTCGCCATATGGAAAATCAGAAGCGTACATCAAATTAGAACAATTAGGAGAAGGATCTTATGCAACCGTGTACAAAGGATATAGCACGTAAGATTATAATACATTAAATAATTAATTATACATAATTGTATGTGTTGTAGTTTAAAAAATCAAGTGGTTGCATTAAAAGAAATTAGACTGCAGGAAGAAGAAGGAGCCCCATTTACCGCGATCAGAGAGGCTTCTTTATTAAAGGAGTTAAAACACGCCAACATAGTCACATTGCACGATATCGTACACACCAACGAAACATTAACATTTGTCTTCGAATATGTTGTAAGTACAAAAAGATTTTTTTGACGGAAAATATGTTGAAGTTAATTTTCTTTAGCATACAGATTTATCACAGTACCTGGAACGACACGGGCGCGGACTGGATCCGCGTAACGTAAAACTATTTCTCTTCCAACTCCTAAGGGGATTGGCGTATTGTCACAAACGCAGGGTGCTACATAGGGACGTTAAACCACAGAATCTATTAATAAGCGAAATGGGCGAATTGAAGCTGGCCGATTTCGGTTTGGCTCGGGCGAAATCCGTTCCGAGTCATACTTATTCGCACGAAGTGGTTACTTTATGGTATCGACCGCCGGATGTTTTACTAGGAAGCACCGAGTACTCTACCTCTTTGGATATGTGGGGCGTTGGATGTATTTTTGTTGAGATGATTATAGGAACGGCGATTTTTCCAGGATTACGTGATACTTATGATCAACTAGATAAAATATTTAAGGTAAAAGTGATTGAAATGTTGATTGTGATAAGTGATAAGAGTTGTTTATGTATCCAGGCATTAATGCCAATATTTTTTTTTGTTTTTTTGTCATTATGGTTGATTATAAGGAGAACATTATTATTATACTTTTTTTGTATGAAGACGCACGACCAAATCCGAAACTTTCTAACAGGTCTAGTCTTATTTCTAATGATAGCGCAAGTATTAAATTTAGCTGCGAAATTAGAAATTTAAATGACGCGGACTAATAGTTCTCGCGCGTGTATTGAAAGGTTAAAACTAAAATCAATATCTACGATATTGATGCGTCCGTTTTACAACAACATTGATTTATTGAAATTTTCGTGAAACGATCCTCTGAATGTGTACAATGATTATAAATATTATGCTTAATATGTTGTGTTCCATCTGTTGACACCACATGTTTAAAAGTGTTTCAGAGTTGTTTGTTTTTTACTTCTGAGGTTATTTTTATGAATCTGTTTTTATTTATTGTGAGTTATAAAAAGTAAATTTTACAAGATATTAAAAACATTTAATTCAAATATTTCGCTTTATGGCGAACATAAATTTTTAACGAACATTTTTTAATTTGCCAGTTATATTCTTGTTAGGATAATAAATCTTAAGTCGTAGTAAAGTGCTGGTCAACTCGAAATTATACTTTAATCATAAAAATAGGATATCCACGATTTTATTTAACACCCATTAAGTGTAACATTAATTTTTGGGCTTAATCTTTTTATCAAGATTTTATTTTATACTGATATAAACCAATGGAAAATGAATAATTTATATTTCCTATATTTATCACATCTATTATTATTATCATGGATGTCCTAATCAATGGATTGTCAAACTGTTAAAATCATACTCAGGCCACCACTATTTTTCAAGCATTAAAATCTAGTTGTTACAACAAAATAAATATACTTATACACAAAATATGGAGATCTTATAGGAGTTTTGTGTCAATAAATACAGGGTGACTTATTAACTCACCATCAAACTTTGACATATGTCCTAACTATGTCCTATTTCAATTATTTACGAAATTATAAGACTTCTTTCTGCCGCGAATTTATTAATAGTCAGTTAAATCAAACATTCAACAAAAACAAAGTTGTCATTGTAATATGTCAATTTGCTGTAAGGTTTAATTATTAATTATTACATACAAGAAAAACTCAAAATGTACGCTTATAGCACTGAAGAGTATGCTGTTATAATTTTCTTGTATGCTTTTTGCAATGGAAATGCTCGACAATCAGTACGAGAATATCAAGAAAGATTTTCACAGCGTCATCTGCCATATTATTCAGTTTTTAGCGATTCTTTCAGAAGACTTTGAGAAACAGGTAATCCTGCACCAGTAAAAGCTATTCGACCGCATGTAGTTAATGTAGAAGACGTAGAAGCTGTAATTAAAGCTGTCATTGATAATCCTTGCATCAGCACTCGAAAAATAGCACACAACATACATGTAAGTCAAAATTTTACATGGGGCGTATTGAACCGCGAAGAATGTTCAAGCTCTACAGCCAGGAGATAATCAGCAACGGTTAGCATTTTGTGAATGGTTATTGCAGCAACATGCGCAAAATAATGACTTCATTTCAACAACATTTCAGCATCAACGTTGGGGGTGGAATATTTATCAACAATTTATTAGGTTTGCATGTACTTGATGAACGCTGTAAATTACAGATTTTTTTGAACAATACACTTTTTGATTTACTTGAACATATACCTCTTAATGTAATTCAAAATATGTGGTCCAAACAAGTGGATTGGTAATAATGGTCCATTTGCTTGGCCACCCAGATCCCCCGACCTTAATCCATTGGATTTCTAGTTATGGGGTCAAATGAAACAAATTGTGTATCATGTGGAAATTAACACACGAGAACAGTAGTTACTAAACAGAATATAAATGGCTGCTAGTGAAATAAGAAATCAAACAGACATTTTAATTCGGCTGAAGAACTCTTTAATTCGTCGTTGTGAAGCATGTATTCTAGCAGAAGGAGGCTATTTTGAACAATATTTGTAATATTTATGTGTTTAAAAAAAAAATTAGCAGTTAATTATGATATAAAAATTAAAACTTTAAAGTGTTATAATTTCGTAAATAATTAAAATAGGACATATGTTCATTAACATTTTTTTTTTGGTAATTGGATTAGCTATCATATGTCTAAATTTGGTGATGAGCTAATAAATCACCCCTGTATAGTTTTAATAATATAATAGCACTTCCAGAAAAAAATGTGGTTCTTTTATTATTTCTTATTATTGTTGTGTTTCTGGAGTTACACATACATCATTGTTGATAGAAAGATTGTTTTCAAAGACCATATCGTGATTAAACTAAAGCTAGAACTCATACTAGAACTATAATATAATAATAATAATAATGTTTATTTGTCAATTATTATGTTATTGTTATTATATTGTGTTAGTTTTAGTTTAATTAACACTGGCTGTGAAACCCTTCATATTTATACCATACTGTGAATATATCAAAAAGTTAATACAAATTTATTAATTATCTATGGAATGTCAGATATATTTACTGCATAAAATTAAATTTGCGATAACACTAAATGTTTGTACGTTATTTAATGATTCTGAATCAGAAATTGCAATATATATCAGTAGATTCAATTCCTTTATCAGATATAAATAGGAATTGTTTTGCGATTTGTAAGCGAATTTATATGGAATACGAATAATGGATCATTAATTTTTGTGCAAACTAAGCCAAACTAATTAAGAGATAATTTTATAAGCCATTGCATATCGAATAACTTTATGACTTCTAATAGAGGTATTTATAGCGTTGAAATAAATTATATAAGTTTACTCACCATGTTATCCACTTCTAAGGGTTAATTATGACCATTTCCGCCACTAGAATTTGGATCAGCAATTTTTCGTTGTATACAAAAAATAGAATAATTACTTTTTCTGATTTTGTATAACACAGAGTTTTTCCAGTTATTCTACATTTATTACTGCTTCCGTTCTTTTTGTGTATTTCTATTTACTCTGATACATATCTTGTCTTCCCTATTCTTGCTGCAGATATCTTTATAAGATTGCTTCTATTTCTCCATTTGAGCTCTCAATATCAGTTAATAAGAACTATGACTCGTCAATTCGAACTCTGAATCTGATTCATTTCGAGGTGTAAACTCTAGGATTTGTGTGTCAATTCCAAATTAACTCTGAAAAAAAAGTAATATTCAAACAAATTTTAATGCGGACAAAAAAAAATGCAAGCAGTATTTAGATATGGTTACGGAACTATAAAGAATAAAAGATAACACAGTATTGAGAATTATTATTATTTATTTACAATTGAGATTTTCGATAGTATAGTTGTGATGGCATTCTGTGAAAACATCTTTGAAAGAAGAAAAAAAAGTGTTTCTACGTCGACTGATGTAATTGGTTCAAATTTGATTTGATCAGGTTTATTTAGCAGAACCTCAATTGCATCTATCAGTAATAATAAGTATAAACAGTCCTATACCTATTTATTGTAGTTTCTCTCATATTGGGAAATTTATCAAAACATGCAGGAAATACAGGAAATCGTTTTTGAGGAAACATTTTGACAGATTTTCGTTTAATTTATTTCTATGATTATTAGTACTATTAACTACGATTTATAATCTTTTAGTTTACTAGCTTTTACTTACCAAAAATAACAAACAGAAGATTAAAGAAATGAAACAATTAAAACCAAAAATTAGATTTAGATAAAAATATAAAGATATAGGTAATATAAATTTGTTATTAAATTGAATTTGGAAATGCAATAAAATACGATAAAATATTCATTTCGTTGTCTTCATCACTGGTGACCGGAAATATGCGGTTACTTTTGGTCTCGATATGTCCAGAACTAAGAAAATCTTTATCAATTTTTTGAAATTTTTCCTTGTGATGAGCGTTAGGTTTGTTAGGCATCTCTCATTAAGTGTTTGACACGTTCTGTCCAAAAGTTTATTACATATGCCATCAATACAAAATAAATTTCAAATATCGGCGTTGGAATAATCTGCCATGATGTTCAATGACTTACACCTGTCGTCAAATGTAACTGATGACAATAATAATACAAATGAATACAAACATGGATCAAAAACTGTCAAAATTCCATAGCTTTTTAATAAAAGAACATGCATTTCGTGGATGTTTTAATAAATTTCCCAATATGAGGCAAACTACAATAAATAGGTATAGGAATATTTAAAGATCATGATGCTGCATCAGAAATTGAAATATATATCAGTAGATTTAATTCTTTTATCAGATATAAATAGGAATTGTTTTGCGATTTGTAAGCGAATTTATATGGAATACGAATAATGGATCATTAATTTTTGTGCAAACTAACCCAAGCTAATAAATAATTAAGAGATAACTTTATAAGCCATTGCATATTGAATAACTTTATGATTTCTAATAGAGGTATTTATAGCGTTGAAATAAATTATATAAGTTTACTCACCATGAGAATTTGGATCAACAATTTTCCGTTGCATACAAAAATAGAATAATTACTTTTTCTGATTTTGTAACAGATTTCATTTATACTGCTTCCGTTGTTTTTTGTGTGACTTCCGTTTCATCCATTAACACCACCGTCAGTTTATCTCAACACATTAGAAAATGAAAGCACCGAATTCTCTTTCCTATTAAATATTTCATATTAATTTCTGTACTCATATTGAGTATTTGTTAGGCATTATAATTTCAATATCTAGACCCATGCATTGATTAGGCAGATGAGTCTATATTTGTTTTGTTTTTAAGTCATCAAATGCCGGCTTTTCAATTAAAATCAACTTTGATTTCCATTTACTCTGATATTTTGTCTTCCATTATGCCGACAAGACGCCCTCTGGGTATGAAGTTTTCAGTCTAAATGTGTCTTTTATGGACAGAGCTTAAATATACTTCTTGCTGCAAATCTCTTTATACGACTGCTTCTATTTCTTTCTTTGAGCTCTCAATATCAGTTAATGAGAACTCGTTTCGAGGTGTAAACTCCAGAATTTGTGTATCAATTCCAAATTAACTCTGAAAAAAAAAAAAAATATTGAAACAAATTTGAATGCAGTTTTAATGCAAGAAGTATTTAGATATGGTTGATATAGATATTGAGAATTATTATTATTTATTAATAATGGTTAAATATTGTATTTGATCAGGATTATTTAGCAGAACCTCAATTGCATCTATCAGGAGTAGATGAGATCCTCCTAATTTTGTGATACTTTTGCTTAAAAAATTGTAATTATCTTGAGCAAATTGTTCGATTATTTCTTGTTTTTAAAAATAAATCTTTACATTTTTTTATTGATTCAGCGCAGTCAGAAAAGTCCTCTACAATATTTTTAATATTATTATAGTTCTAGTAATAATAGGTTTAGGAGGCAAGAGGATAGTTAGCAATTTATCTTTGCATATTTTTATCCGAATTATCCCGAACATTATCCAGATGTCGCCAATTATATCTAATATATAACTTTTACTACAATAGTCATTATTTGTCAAAAGGGATAAATTCCTAAGTTTATGTGTATAAGTTGAGAATCACCCTGTATTTATTAAGCGTAAACACAAAAATTTTGTGAAATTATATGCTCCCACATAATGTTTTGGAGCGAAAATATTTTAACTCTAAATTTGTATTCATGCGCAGTTCACTAAAATATCAGGAGCTCTCTTTAAATAAACAAAGCAGGCAATAAAAATCACATCATATCTTCCGCTCGACTTCATCTTAACTAAACAACTATAAAAAAATTAACAACTTAAATTTACGATCTATTTATGTGTAGAACATTTTTTGACTTGAAATATAATAAAAATAGAACTTTATTGTTAATATACTAATATTTTTTAAATAATTTGTAGGTGCTTGGAACTCCAACAGAAGAAGATTGGCCTGGAGTAACAAGATTACCAGGTTATAAAGCACATAAATTAGGTAAATACCAACCTCGTAAGTTAGGTTTGTACTGGCCAAGATTACACGACGTGGTTCAAGGTGAAACAATGGCCACAGCGTTATTACAACTCGATCCTCAGCATAGAATCGGTGCGGATCAAGCGATGACTCACCAATATTTTAGCGGATTACCAAAGAAGCTACTCGAGCTTCCCGATGGTACAAAAAATAATTTATAATTTAATAAAATAATTAATTTTTTTAATAAATTCCAGATGTATCAATATTTAGTGTGGAAGGTGTCCATTTGTACCCAGAACACTACTCGGGCATCAAATGAGGCCTAAATTCGGGACGTCCCTTCTCAGGAATAATACACAACTAAAACGACCAGTCGCGTCTGGACACCTTCTTCCCCCTAATTATTAAAAAATGAAAAAAGTAATAAAGAAACCCCGGCACACACGCTTGTTACACAAAAACAAAATACATCTGATCCCACCAGCAATTCATTCACACACACGTAGTTAAAGAAAAGGATCGATCTTTAAAAAGATATGAAAAAAAAAAATAATAGGTTTTTAAATTAAAACGAAAAATAATTGCGAAACTGATAGAATAACGTCGGTTTTCGATAAAAGAAGTGTACCTTTTTCCTTTACGCTTGATTAAGCGTAATGGTATATTTCTCAAATAGTAATAAGATCAAAAAAAAAATTTATAACATACTTTAAATGGTTACGTTACGTGTTTTTGTTTTGCACCAAAAAATTTATGTTAAATTATGTTTTGACGGTTATTTTTAGATTATTTCAAAATTTTTTTTGCGTACGTGCCATTTTCTTAAAGACTTAATATTTTTGTTTTTCTTTAATTCCAAAAAGTTGTTAAAATAAAGTTTTATTTAAATTAATTATTGATTTATCTTAAGGTATGTCTAAACATTTTTTTTTGAGCGCGGAAAACATTCTATAAATAAAGAATGTTAGCGCTTATTAAAACATAAACAGCGCGAGGCAGCCGCGCTCAAATGTCGTATTTGAATGTTTAAACACACCCTTAAAGAGTTATTGAACAAATCTTATCAATGGCATTTAATTACATATTTCTGGCGAATTTCTTTTGATTATTTTAGTTTAGAAATTATTTTTTTATCATTATACAGGGTGTTTTAAAATAATAAAATTGAAAATTCGTGTAGAATAGTTAATTTTAAGAATAAATCATTATACAAGTTTTTTTTTTTTTTGAAATTTCCACGAATAAAAAATCATTATCATCAGAAGTATGTAATTATATTTTGTTAAACCATTGTTTTTGCCGATTTCTTCATTGTCAAATTAATTATTATTAATTAAAAAAAAAATTATTTGTAATTTGTTTGATGATGGAAAAATAACCTTTTCAATTTTTTTTTTCAACTTGTTCGCTATGGGCCTAAAACTACGTTTAAGAAAAAAAAAAACATAGTGAAGAAATGAATTTTAATAAACTACAACATAAACAATGTGGTGGCAATAGTGTGTTTTGTAAATCGAACTAAAATCAATCAGAATTTAAAATAATTAAAAAAAAAAATGGAAACGTAAAAGTGTAAACAAATTCATATAGATCCATTCCTTCCATGGTGCTCAATTATTACTATTTGTAAACTAAGACTAAACTAGCTAAGTCTCTCCAATCGCGTAGGCTGTAAACGCTGCAGTGCAGTTGACTGACAAAAAATGGATTAAGAAAATAAAAAGGATATTCACGGAAAATATTCACAAATAATTAAAAAAAAATAATAAACATTATCTTAGAATAGAAGTGGAGGTCCGGGCACAAATCCTCTCTCGTACTTCCATTCGAGATAAACCTTAGATTTCATTCATTCGAAGAAAAAAATAAATAAATTAATAAATAAGTAGAGAAAGAGATTATCTCTTCGATTTTTTCGAGTAGCGCGCTCAGTAGCAATGTAGGCGACTTTTTTTATACAGTTGAAATATGTATTATTTATTATTGTATCAAAAAAAAACTTAGCTTTCATTTAATTATACAATTTATTATCTTTAGTATCATTATTATTTTTTACGTCAATGTTAACCATTACTGTTAGCCTCCTTTCTTCTTTTATTTAATTTTTTATAACTTCTACGTAATTTTTTTATACATTCTTAAGATTATCTCAACTTACGATGTAAATGATCAAAAATTTTTATAATTAAGTCATTTAAAACCAAGTATAACTAAATTTAATTACAGTTTAATGACACTCAAAGTCAGTAATATAATATTCGTTTATACCTTAGATGGTGAGATAATCTTGGAACATACTGTATATTCGCCAATAAGTCAATTTAAAGAAAACTATTACGTGCCAAATAGGCAAAAAACATCTTGCTTTAAAAAAAAATAACTTAAATTTAGCTGTATTGTTAAATAAAGCAACATGTTGTAGATGAAAAAAAAACTATGTACATTTTTCCAGGCCTAAAAATAATTATTTGTTAATTATTTAGTTATTAAATGATTCTAAATTTTTAATTGGTATTTAGATATTCATTTTAGTTGCAATATAACTTACATAATAACGCTGTGAGTCGATTTAGGTAAAAAAAATTTCTCGTCTTTGTAATTTTAGTCTTTATAAATTTTACGTAGGATTTGTAAACAAAAAAAAAACAGACTTGTGAGAAAATAAATGGTAGTTTTTTCGTAGTCCACGGCACTAAAGAAATTAAAAAAAAAAATAATAAGTAAGGCACGCGGCAAAAATGCACCCCTCCTTAATACGGTACGTCCAAATAAAAATCAAACGGCTGTAAGCATTAAAAAAATTTAAAAAAAATCGATTGCAAGATTAAAACGATTAATTAATTAATTAATCGATGGGTTGTTGTTCCATTTTTTCACAAACGTTTCAATTTCTCGGCTCAATGCACGCTTTAAAATAAATTAAAACAAAAAAAATTGTAACAAAAAATTAACACAAAAATCGTTTTTGTTAAACACTTTCGCTAATTACAAAAAAAAAATAAATAGATTTCTCTACTAATTATAAATTAATAATAATAAATCACTACCGTTTTTTATCACTACAATAAAAGAATTAAAAAAAAAGAGGGCGTTTTCGAAACGATTTTAAATGAAAACGTTGTCTTTTCCACTTAAAAAAATAAAAAAAAAACACTTTTGTGATAGAGAGTTGTTATTGGTTTGACCAGAATTATTAAAATAATTACATTACGTGGAAGAAAAAAAAAAGGAAAAGGATAGGGAGCGTAATATCTATTTGAAGTTAAGATAAAAATTTTATTACACCTCGAGTAATGGTGTACGTAATCACTGTACCATGTTGCATTGTAAATATAGTTGTTTATATTAATAAAATGATTATACGAAAAAAAAACATACCCGGAACTATTACTAATTGTAAGTAATAAATGTCTTTGTATATGAGTATTAAGTTATTCTGTTCTAATTATTTACCCCAAACACTTCTTTTAACAAAATCAAAAATGATTAATATCAATATTAAGATTTAAATTTGATCAGGTAAGCTATAATATAAAAACAAATAAATTGTTTTATCTACGACTGCTTGCATAAGTCATCATTACCGCACTCATTTGAGGTGATTTGAGTTACGTAATGAAGTTCATTACCGCACTGGTTTCATTACGCAACGCATTTTTAGCCTAATCAGAATAGACTTAATTTATTGAAACGAGCAACAATACAAACAAAAGTGCTATCTACTTACAGAGAAACAATACTATTTATTATAAACATTAATTGTTATGTTTTTACATTTCGAAACACTTATTCCAGATGAGTAAACATGTTGTTGAAACTGACAATTCAAAATTGTCAACAATCATTTCAAAATATTTTTATAAATATCTAATAGACTTTTTTAAAGAAATTGATTTTTTAGTAATTTTTAGCAGTCGTAGATAAAATGCGATTATGTTTCTAGCCCTTGTAATATAAATAACTATTTTGTAATTCGCGACGGTAATGAAAGCTATTACAGTACTCAAACGGGTGCTGTAATGAGACTCCTTACAGCATCCGATGCTGTAATGAGACTCCTTACAGCATCCGATGCTGTAATGAGATTTTAGTAACATTTTATGGAACCAGTTCAAGTTGGTGACATTGGGTTTTCAATTTTTGTAGTTGTCAATGTGACAATTTTTGTCTATGGATGTTTAAACACGTTCTTAGCATCGAATACAAGGTCCACAATGATGAGGAGATTGAACTCTGAGCAATTTCTCTTATTTTGGGAGGTGTACATGAAATTTTTTTTTCAGGTGAATACATTTTGTGTTTTGACAATTTCTAATTGTCAATTCAAATTTCTATTTTCAAGTGTTACGGTGTTACCAACTGCTACGTACCTGTTTCCCTACATTGTTAAAATTTATTTTATTGTGTGTCTTACGAAACTAGTTTTTTAATATACTATTACCTAACATGTAGTCAGTATGGATTTCTTTGAATCCTGCATTACCAAAATGAGTTGATACCTAAATCAAGATACTTCCCCATGTAAATTTTTGTAGTCAAAAAATATCGAATAGACACGACAACAAATGAGCTTTAATACAGCCAAGAGTCCCACAACTTTGCAACGAGAAAGTCATCTAACTTCTGTGTGAAGTAGAAAAAATCATAACAATTTCCAAAGTTCTCTCAGTATATTTTACGATACGATTTCTTTTTTCGCCAAGCAACTGGTTTTATTCGCCTTAAATAAGACACCTTATTTTTGTAATAGGATGAAGTGTCGTCGACATAAATCAACCCAACCCAACATGTCATCCAAATCTTCTTACTTTAAGACATCTGTCTTGTTTCTAATTACATATAGCCTATGTTGGGAAGTTAAGCTCCAGCTTTCTTTCTAAAAATATATACAGGAAAAATTTAAGGGATTCCGATAAAGAAGATGACCAAGCAACTGATTCACTACATTCTATTCAACTTAAATATGAACACTGTATTCCTGTCATGAGATGAAGTGTAGTCAACAAAAACCAACACAACCCAACCCGTACGTGACATGCTGGGCTGGGTTTAGTTGGGTTGGATTGATTTACCCAACCCAACTGCTGTTGTTGCAATGGATTTCCTTCTTTTGTTTTTGTGTTAAAAGATTTCTCTTCCCACTCCTTATTTACCATTCTTCTCCAAACTCCGTAAGTCCGTATTCTCTTTATTTCGACTTCACAAGCTTCCTCCTCTCGCATCTTTCGTTCTTCTTCTGTTTCCGTTCTTCTCTAATGTCGCTCTTCTCCTCTAAGTTTTTAGCAGGTTTCGTAGCTCCTGTGTTTTTATCTCTTTCTTCATTTTATCCTCCCTCATAATTTATCCCAATCTTTCTAGCTTCGCAGCCGCAACCTTTATCTCTCTCTTTGTATTGTGTTCCACATTTGTTCTCAGTACCACCATCAATAGCAACATCGTTGCCATTGTGTGCTCTAGCCTCTCTGCCTGTTTGCTTCTTCTGCCACTTGTTTCTTTTCTCTCTTCCTTTCCATTTACATCCTCTCCCTTTCCTCTCATCCTTCTTCCTGCATTCCTTCTCCGGTGAAACTTCTTCGTGTCTTGAAGAATTTCTTTTCACGTTATCAAAGGTCCACGTCCTCACTGGGGTTGCTGTGTCTAAGCTTCCCAGCCTTAAAAAATCCCATTAGCTTCATTTACCGCTGTCTACCTCAACCGCCGTCTTGCTCAGGTCGTCATCATCTTCCTCTTCTTCACTCGTATGAGTCTGCATCTCTTCTGATTTCTTCCTTTTTATAGCTCCTTGAGGGTTTGTCTTGTCTACTTCTTTTTCATCTTCTGATGGCAATCAGCTTGGCACCGACTTTCTTTGGGAAGCTATCTTAGGTGGAGAGCGGCTCAACAGAGTACTTCT